CCACCATCATCATCATCATCATCATGACAATCATCCTGCCATCATCATCATCATCATCACCATCATCACAATCATCCTGCCATCATCACAAGAATCACAGTCATACTGTCACCGACGTCATCGTCATCGCAAATGCCTCCGGTGACACATGTCATCACTTCATCATCACTTTTGTCGTCGGCACCAGCACCAGCAACATCGTAGTGCGAAGATCAGCAACACCATCCTCCTCACGAGCTAGTGCTGCTGAACCCCATGTTTGCAGTAACGCTTGAGCGCTTTCGTTGTGTGCTTTTCATCGACAAACTGAGCGGCATGAGCGACTTCAGAGACACCGGCTGATCTCTGCAGCATGCCCTGCAGCGCACAGGTGCAGGAGCGGGCCAACCGGAAAGAGAGTCAGCTCTATGAGTTCAGTTCAACTGGCCCAGAGGTCATCTCCCTAGCGCCGAGGGGGATCTGCTGGGGGGATGGTAGGGAGTATAGGCTTGACGGTACAAGTTGGGAGTCCTGACTCTCATCGGTCCTCTGCGTTTCCATGCACCGAGTTACTGGCGAACGAAGGGTAGCGGGTTTTGAAGTGAATGGCCCAGTGACTTTGAAAGTTGAAGACTTCCGCCTTCTCTACACCTCGTAAGACCGAAAGTACGGTGACTCCTAAACTCTAAAACGGAGGACATCACGAAACAGCTGGAGAGGGCACTGGAGCTACAGTGGCTTGTTGGGCATCTTGTCGTTGATATGGTGAGTTTTGCTTCTTTCGACTAGGTCGTAGCGTTGCAATAGGCTCTCCATGCCATCACATGGCAAGGAGGCTTGCATATGTCTCTGTCAGCTAATTACAGCTACATTGTGTAAGTCCTTGTAGCCATCCCAACTAGTTTAACCAATAAGCCCTAAAACGTAAGCGCATGGATATGTCCCTAACGTAGGGGCCTGAATAATTACCTATACTACTTTGGGGCTCCTTATTTCAATTATAGTAGAATGGACCCCAAAACCCTATTCCAATTATTGAGGCCCCTACACCCTAAACCCTTATAGTAGCCCTTATAGAGCCCTTTAGGGAACCCTTTACAGGAACCCTATGAAACCTTATTCTATTTATTAAGGCCCCTATATAGAGGCCAGGCTATGTTATCGGGCTTTGTTGGCATTGTGGTTCCAACAGAGAGCTGGTACTCGGAGCATTTGAGACATGGCCCCTTTTAGAGCTTGGGTAAAGCTAGATATTATGTTGTATTCCAGGCTACTCTATTGCATGATAGTATACTACACTATATCACATTCTATCATCTTTTTTATGTTTCATGAAATTGCGTTATATTACATTACACTGTACTACAAGATATCATATCATTGTTAGTGTGTTGTAGTATGTTAACTTAAACTTGAAGCATTTCGGTTTCATGCTGCGGTTTTGAGATGGTTCAGCGATTGTGGATCTTCACTTCCGTGAGGAGCTTGAAACAGGAGGGTTCAGGGTTTAAGGTTCAGGCTTTAGGACCTTGATTGTGTTCGATTAGATAGAGCCGAACTCGAAGCACCAGTCCAAAGATCAATGTTTCAAGCATGCCCCTCTGCCACCTTCAGCCTGAACCCCAAAAACTCTTAGCCTGTACTGCGTTATCTTTCAGTGGAAAGTCCTAAATCTTGACTAAGATCCCAGAATTGAGCCCTTAATTTGAAAGCCGTGCAGCCCTCAAAACTTGAGCCGTGACGAACAGAATGTGTCCAAGGTATCCGTTCTTGGCGTCAGGCCACGATCAGCTCACCCACGGCTTCTACAAGCCCGCCGGCGAGAATCGCGATTTGTTTTCGGTGTTGTTTTTTGAAGAGTTGGTGCGAAGCCAGCCTAAAGCGCCGTTTTTGAAAGGTCGAGTCGCCCGCACGCTTCCATCGAAGCCAAGCCACGCCTCAAGTCATAACCGTCGAGCACTTCAAGTTGCGTCAATGAGACTCTTGCAGGGTTCACAGAGCACTGAAGCCAGAGCTCGGTTTGAATGCTCACGCGGAAGGCCCTGCATAGGAGGGAGCCCCAAGGAGGTTGCTGACCTTACCGGTGTCTCCGGACAGAAGGTAGGTGATTCCCACAGAATGGCCGAGGTATGTTGCAGGAATGCAGGCCTTGTGTGCTCGGGTGCTCTTCGCGCTAATCCCCGAGGCCAAGACTGTCATGGTGCCTCGACTGCTTTTCTTTAGCTGGATGTTTTGGACCATGTTGCAGTAGGAGGTTCAGGTTCCTATCGTTAAGTTGGCGTTCTGAATCATCTGCACCCTGCGCCCGATTTGGACGAAACTTATAACTGCCTGACATACCCTGATCCCTGATCGGGTGCTAAACAGGACATGTTCTGCGGATCGGGCACTGTTCTCGTGGAGGGCCGTGCTGCCGGCAAGGACGTGATTGGTTGCGACGTGTCGCCTCTTGCGCTCTTTGCGGCAGCCCACCACACGGACGCCCATGGCCTCGATCTCGAGCTCTTCCTTTTGAAGAGCCGAGAGCTGACTCATGGCATGAGGCTGAAGAGCCAAACTTGGAAGTATCTCCGGTCCCGGATCGCTTCGGAGGAGCCGGGGGCTCTCCGGGATGCTCTGCATTTTGTGCTCCTGGTCTCATTGAGCCGAGCTCGGGATCGGACCTACCTCCACTCTTCTTCCAAGTTGTGGGGAGACCGTGGTCCCGGGGCTTTTGGAGCAGAAGGCACTTTGGAGGATGATCTCCCTGTGGAGGCGCCGGCCCTGTTTCATGGAGTTGCCCAGCTGTATGCCGCGCGCATCAGGTCACTGCGGAAGGCCATGCCCTCAGAAGGAGACGTCCAGATCCATCGCTGTGATAATCGGATTCTGCGGCTTCCAGAGAAGGTAGATGCAATCATCACCGGCCCGCCGTATCCTGGAGTCTATGATTATCATGAACCTGCAAGCGCTTCTGCCGACCTTCTCGGTGGTCAGATTCTCTACGACTTCTGCTCGCCAGGTTCGACTGTGGGCGGCGGCCGAGTGCCCACAGTCGAAGACCAGGCAGGCCACCTGGGCTTGAGCTCATCCGAATACGCCCCAGGACTCCCGACTTCGCTTCCATGGTAGGTTTTTGTTCCAACTCTTGAGCCATGTCAACCACGAAGTCTTGCGAATGCATCCTTGAAAAAGCACCCTGAGGACGGGAGATCGGCCAGAACCGCGACTGGCTTGAGGAAGGCGCGGATTACGCCTCCACGTGGCGTAAGGAGCAAGAAGGCTGGCTTGCTTCGGCCTTCAGGACCGGTGCACATCGTACGCTTCCATACAACTCCTGTACTCCCTTCTTAGGAATAGTATGATCAGGAAGGAGATGGCCATGATGATGCTTACACTGTTCATTTTGCTGAAGACGCAGATGACGACCATGCATATTGTTAAGATGTGTTACGGCGCATATCGCCGTGATGAGGTTCATGCCATTCAGCAGCTGTTAGTGAAAGAGATGTCGCACATGAGGTGGCCGTGGGTTTTTCTGGGGGCATTGCCTCCCCAAGGCTGGGTAATGACCGGGTGCGCTCGATCGTGTTGTGGTGTGTTCTATGCCATGCCTTCAGCTGCCGAACTAGTTGGATCAGAGTTTGGCATGGCATAGTAGGATGCTGACAGAAAGACTGCATGAGGAAGGATGCTACGTAGTCTTGCTCGAGGCTCTAACGTCTGCTCTCGACTCAGTGCTTGCTCCTGCAGGGTTCCGAAGTGAGCCAGACGCTTCTGACAGAAATAGTGGCTTGGAGCAGCATGACGACGGCTATTCGTTCTACGACGATATTGAACGCAAAGGATAGCTGTCTACTTTACCATTTGTAAGCACAGCGGTGCCATCGCGAAAAGGATGACAACATAGAACAAGCTAAGATCCAAGAGTCCCTAAGCCGTCGGCATTATTGCTGAACTCTGAACATCAGAATGTCATCGAAGAGACAACTCTAACACTCTGTGAAACTTATGTCATGACCTGCACAAGTCGACAGATATCAGCCTCCACTCCCATGCGTTGTTCGTCAAAGCTGTATGAAGTACTAAACCCTAAACCCTAAACCCTAAACCCTAAACTATATAGTTGAACCACGACTCTCACAGGAATCTCCGTGCTGGGGGAACCTCCACACTAATGATTGGCGACGGCGATGAGGCGGCTCCGGGCGACGGCGGCTTCGACAACTTGAGACCCACAGTGGAAGCGGCTGAGAAGGTCGGCTTCCGCTTGATAGCCACGGCTTCAATCCGAGGAAAGATCAGGCATCCAAAGCAGCCGAAAGGCATGAAGAGAACAGAGCATATGGTGCACTTGCTGAAGCCACCGTGACCACGACATGCATTGCGGGCATGATACTCCAGCCGACGGTTTCAATTCGGGTGATCATGGGTAACATGGTCCCTTCGCACGCGGGAACCGCAGCCATGGAGCTGTACTAGAACTGTAGCCAGTAGCCGGCCCGATATGGCAAGCCGACGAGCTGGGGGTCCACCTTGGGTGGCCTTACGGCTTACAGTGGCAAGAACTGCGGACCAAGATCGCGTGCCCGGACTTGTCATCTCGAACTCTCCAGAGAAGGAGGCAGATCTGAGCACTTGCTGGAAGGCGCCGCCGGTGTGTTCGCATCTTTGGATTGAATCTGCAAGCTTCCGACTTGCGATGCACCACAGAGCAGAAACGGTCCGCGATCCGCAGCTAGGAAGGCGTCCTTCGCGCTACTGGATCCCAAGGGTTGCCCCTGACCTCAGAAGCCTCGAGAGCCCCAGAAGCTCAACAGGGAAGCTGCTTTGAGACGTCTCTCAAGATTTACGTAAAGGCGTTCTTCAAGGGTCTTTCAGGCGTTTGTAAGGGCTTCAAAGCGAGATTAGATAATCATTACAGCGAAGAATAACGGAGTCCAGAGAACATGAGAAGAGCAACCGTGTGTGTGTACGTGTGTTGGCATCGAATGTAAAAGAACATTTTCTGGCCCCACAGCAGACTGCAAAGCTCATGCCAGGCAGCGCAGTCCTCGACATCCGGCAGTGCCCGGCGACACCTTCGAGGCTTCCAGAGTTCGGCATAGTTGGCAACAGTATCTGCAGTCCCTGTATGTATGTATGTATGTATGTATGTATGTATGTATGTATGTACGTCTCTATATGTATGTCTGCAAGCAGTAAGCACATTGTTTATAATATCAGCACTATGTGTAGATGTAGAATATGCTGACTGCGTATAAATTGTAGAATATGTAGACTTCGTATTCGTATAGTATGTAGATTTCGCATAGTTTGTATAATATGCAGAATATGTATGCTTTTTTATAATGTGTAGACTGTGCATCAGATGTAGAATATGTAGAATATTTATAACATGTATAGTACGCGTAATATGTATAGTATGTGTAATATGATGTACAGTTCGTATAACATGTATAATATGCATAAGCTGTAAAATGTGTATATCCCGTACATCATGTGTGCATGCATATATATATATGTGTATGTAT